CATTCATATTTTAATGTATTACATGTTAGCAATTTTATTCTATAAGAGATTTGGAAACTTTTAAGTATGTTGGGCATATACTCCTTGAATGCCAAGAATCTACTAGATTTATTTAAAAAATGGATTTAGATTTAGAGTGAAACATCAATTAAAATTTCTAAGTATGAATTTCGTTTGTTTTTATATTAATATATTTCTTTCAAGAGGAATAAAAAATAAATTTTATAAAATATCTTCGGTCTGTGAAGTCTTAACTTTTTCGAATACATGTGACTGGTTTGCTGCAAATCCATTTTCTAACCAAATGTGTACTAGCGCTGCTAATTCCAATTTTGTGTAGATAGGCACATTCTCCAATTCCTAATATTTTAAACCTGAAACAAAACACAAAAGAAACAAAATGCCACAGAATGAATAAACTCTCCTGGTTAGAGAAAAAAAATTCCTCTGATATAAGCTTTTACTCTAACCTTATACGCTATTGTTTAAATATAAAGCAAACCTAATTCATAGGCTTTGTGTGGTCTAAAATGAAACCCATATGATGGAGAAGTGCAGGTTTTATTGTCAAATACATTTTATTTTATTTTAAACATTTTTTATTGGGGAACAGTGTGTTTTTCCAGGACCCATCAGCTCCAAGTCAAGTAGTTGTTTCAATCTAGTTGTGGAGGGTGCAGCTCAGTGGTCCATGTGGGGATGGATCCGGCAACCTAGGTGTTAGGAGCCTGCACTCTAACCACCTGAGCTAACCAGCCACCCTGTCAAATACATTTTAAATATGTGTTGCAAAATAACCCATTCAACATCTCTGAACATCAGCGTTTTCATCTATAAAATGGAGATAAATAGACGCCCCTCTCACAGTTGTTGTGGAGGTCAAACGATATGCTGATTATGAAGCATTGTGCTTGGAATAGTCTAAGTATTAAATAATTTGTATAAAAATTTGCATTACCACTTTTTCTCTAGCTTCATTTTATTCTCCACCACAAAGGAAGCTTCCAGATGGGTGTGTATGGATTTTAACTCAGATCTATCCATGGTGGGAAAGGCCCGATCGGAGCTCCAGCTTTAGGTGTGTAAGTTATATATTCCCAGGACTTACCAGCCACTGTATGTGGTTCCATCTATCCACTTCCAGGTCTGTCCGGGTTTTCGGTTCAGTCCAATCCAATATTGAGAATGGTCAGAATATCGCTTCAAGAAATCCTTTAATAAAAGGTATTTACAGGATAAAGAGCAAATGCCTCATTTTCTTTCAACTAATTCATAATACTCTTTACAGAAATACAGACTTTCAGATTTGGCAATAATCTTAGAGGTGACACTGCCCTTATCTGGTCCATGGATTAGTTTATGGGTTGTGTTACTTCTATAACAACTTCTGTAGTAAATCTCATTGAATAGTTCTTTCTCTTTTCTGTTTTTTAAGAGTTTTTTT